TATTAATAACCCTCGGAAACGGAGGGTGGGTAAGAGAACAATATCTTATTTTTTCTGATTCTGTGACGGAAAAAAGGGGAACTTGAAAAACGGGGCAAAGATATCCGGTCCTTTCCCTCGAGTTCGGAGCTAAATTGCTGAACCTGACCAATTGTGGGCTAAAGAATTTGGAATAATTTGGAAGAATTTGGAAATTCGGAGAAGCTGAAGAAATTGAACTGACTTGGAAAATTTAATTCAATATAAATTTAATATAAATACAGCAATTTATATAACCCTAAGACCTGAATTCAAATCAATTTTTAAGGACAATTTCCCTCCCCTCTTCCACCTCCCTCTGCTACCCCCTCTCCCTCCATCTCTTTATATACGAAGCGCCATTGAAGAAAAATCAAACAATCTACGACCTTGGCGCCATGATGTTTTGACTCTGACGCGACCTTCTTGTAAATAAAGGAGAGGGACGAAGCTGTGGATGACAAGGAAGGGGAGGAGCCGGCGAGTCACGCTTGGCGGAAGTCCCAGGTCGGAAGAATTACTGGGAACACAGTTAAGCGGAAGTGAGCTGCTGAGGGCAGAAATACAGCGCCCGCCATTGCAAAGAAGGGCGGAAGCTCAAATCATACCGAACTGTTACTTAAGAAATAAGAGAAAGTGAGAGGGAGGAGGGAAAGGAATATAGGAGGAGGGAAGGATAGAAATTACAGGATCGACGCGAACGAAGAAGGAGACCAGTGGGGAGACGACGGAGGAGGCAACGGAACGGACGGAACGGCGTGGGACAGACGGTGCAAAGACAGAGAGGAGACGGAGACAACGGAACAGCGGAAGAAGCGGCAGGAAGACAGGAGTGATTAATTGTTTATTGATAATAGTTTTGATTAAAATTTCCTGGACGTGTAAAATTTTAATCCCATAAATTTCAATCAATTGTCACCTTGAATTAATTAAATTAAATCGATTAAATTAATTAACAAAAATTAATTAATTAACTGAATTGAATTGTTTATATAAGATTAAATTAGACCCTCTGTTTTTTAGATTTGATCTGTTTGAACTAAGATATTATAATTCATTTATTATATAATAGTAAATTATAGAAATTAGATTATTGGTAATTAATTTGAAGATATATTTAATTTAACTTATCATTACAATGGCAACACCAAAGGTAAAGTCAGATCCAATTACAAAAATAAAACAAGACCAGAAGATTGATCAGTCATTATTGCAAAGAAGAAATTCGCAAGGTTCCCAAGAGCCTACTCTGAAAGATGTTGTTAAAGAAATCCAAAACTTGGCGTTAACGCAATCCAATCTCCAAACATCATTCGAAAAAGGGATAAAAGATTTAGAGGCAAAACAAGAGAAACATAATAAAGAGATGCAAAATAAAATTGATGAATTAAAAATAGAATTAAAAATGAATTAAAGAAGGATCTCAAAGAAGAAATTGGCAAAATTGATGAAGAGATGCCTACGATGAAACAAGACATAAAAGACTTAAAGGTTAAATCGAAGGAGAAGGAAAAAGTACAAAAGAATATAGAACAGAAAATGTCCTCATGGGAGAAACAAAGATTGAGGCTTGAAAAAAACCAAGAAGTACTGGAGATGAGAGATCTGGAGAATCATCTACGTCTCAGGAATCTTCAAGAAAATCCAAATGAAGATATCAGAATGATTGTCTTGGACATCTTGGCAAAGGCATTGAAAAGACCAGTGGTCGATCTGGAGAAGGAAGTTGACCAAGTCTACCGAATAGCGACTACTTATTCAAGAAAGAACAACACTCCGAGAGATATAATTGTCAAATTCCTGAGGAAATGGACAAGGGATGAGGTCCTTTCAAGTAATAGTAAAATTCCACTGCAATTTAATGGAATGAAGGTGGCGGTCCTGAGAGAATTTCCAAAGTCAACATTAATGAGGCGCAGACAATATTTCTTCCTTATGGACGAGCTGAAGAAGAGAAATATAAGATTTAGGTGGGAACGTACGGAGGGCATAATGGCGACTCTGAATGAGAACAAATACTGGCTGACCTCAGTGGAAAAGGCAAAGGATTTTTATGAGAAATTAATGAAGGACCAAAAACCTGACATAGAAGAAAAAAAATCTTATGATGGATCTCCAAAACCACAACGTAAATTTGCAGCAGGAGCATCATCAACCACCCCTAGAAAGGGGAAACGTAACAAAAGGGCCAGATTTACTTCCCCAGATTACGTAAAAACAGGAACGGACGACGATGGAACTTCCAATCCGGACGAAGAGCTAGATGAATCAGGACCAGACGTAGAGGAAACCACCAATGGCAACTGACCATCAAATAAAGGTACTTTCTTTGAATGTTAACGGCCTTAATTCTCCTGGTAAAAGAAAACAGTTATTTAATGGACTGAAGAAGGACAAATATGACACTGTGGCCTTGCAAGAAACTCATATCATGCATAAACACACAGCCCATCTAAATAATGAGAAGATTGGTAAATTGTACTACTCCTCTTTTGAAAAAAAAGAGGGGGTAGCCCTATATATTAAAGATACATTACAATCGGAATTGTCTTTTAAGGATTTAGAAGGTAGAATGATTGCGGTTAGAATTATGTTTGGAAATCAAAGGACATTAATATGTAATATATATGCCCCAAATGGCCCTAAGACTCAATTCGTGGAGACTTTAAAGGGGAAATTGGAAGAAGTGGAATTTGATGATCTAATACTCCTTGGAGACTTTAATGGTATACTTGATAGCCAACTGGACAAAACTAAACCTGCAAAAAGGGGACCAAATGGGAAGGTAAACCGCTTACCTAAAAAAATGCTAGATCTGAAGGATGATCAGAAACTAGAAGATGTATGGAGGTGGAAGAACCCGAGTAGGAAAGATTATACGTTTTATTCCCACAGACACAAATCATGGTCGAGAATAGATATGTGCTGGGCCACAAACAATGTTATTACAAAAATTTGGGATATAAACATTCTACCAAGAGATATTTCTGATCACTCTCCATTGGAAATCTTAATCAATCAAAAAAAAATAAAGGGCAGATGGAGATTAAACGAAAATCTAATAAAAAGAGAATCTGATATTCAATACTATAAGAAGAAAATTAATGGTTATATGGAACTCAACAACACCCCAGGAATGCACCATAATACAATATGGGATGCAGCAAAAGCAGTGATGAGAGGCCATTTTATACAACATAACGCAAGAAATAATAGACTTAGACAGAAGGGTTTAACGGAGGTCTTAAAAAAATTAAAAATGAAAGAGAATGAACTGAAGATCCAACCAGGTAATAAAGAACTTATAAAAGAAATCGAAATATTACACCAGAAAAGACGTAATATAGAAATAGAGGAACAAGCTAAGCAGCTAAAATTTTTAAAACAATACCAATTCGAAAATGCAAATAAAGCCGGCAAATGGTTGTCCAAACAAGTTCGGAAAAAGAAGCAAGCGCACCGAATAACAAAAATTAGTACGGGGGAAACAGAGGTAACGACGGATAAAGAAATTTTAAAAGCCTTTAAAACTTATTATGAAAGATTATACTCTTGTGATTTAACTCCAAAAGAGGAGGTAGTGGAATATTTAAGTAAATTTAATATCCCGAAGATTACAGAGGCTCAAAGAGAAGATTTAAATAGAGAAATAACAGAAGAAGAAGTGGAAGCGGCCATAAGGAGAATGGATGCCAGCAAAGCTCCAGGACCTGATGGCTTCTCCGCAGGTTACTATAAAATCTTTATGAAGGAATTGATGCCAACTCTTAGAAAGGTAATGAATGGGATATTTCAAGGTCAGGGTATCCCAGAGACTTGGAACTTAGCGGAATTAATAGTAATTCATAAAGAACAAACCGACCCTACAGATGTACGTAATTATAGACCTATCTCCTTACTGAATGTGGACTATAAGATTTTTACGAATATTTTGGCTCAAAGACTAAAAGTCTTTCTAAGTAACTGGATAGGGGAGGAACAAGTGGGCTTCCTCCCGAAGAGGAATATGAGAGACAACCTGAGAACGGTTATAGACATGATTGAATATTTCGAAGCTAACCCCCAAAAAGAAGTTGCCTTTCTTGCTATTGATGCAGAAAAGGCATTTGATAATCTCAATTGGGATTTTTTTAAAGTTTTAATGAAAGAAATGGACCTGGGACATCAATTTATTACGGCAGTGGAAGAAATTTATAAGACTCAAAAGGCAAAGGTGCAAATAAATGGTCAAATCTCGGAAGAATTTAAGATAGGGAAGGGCTCCAGACAGGGCTGCCCTATCTCCCCCCTAATTTTCATAATGGCATTGGAAATCTTGCTGAAAAATATAAAGGAAGATCGAAATATAAAGGAGGTTAAGATTGGTAAACAAGAATTTAAGGCCAGAGCCTATGCCGATGACATAATAGGGATAATAGAAAACCCACGAGAAAATATTAAAAATTGGCTGCATACGATTGAACAGTTTGGGAAACTAGCAGGCTTTAAACTGAAACTACTAAAAAACTACTATTCTAACAAAGAATATGACAAAAGAAATGCAAGAAGAGTTGAAAGAAATTTCGGGTCTAGCAATAGTTAATAAAATGAAATATTTGGGTATATGGATTACATCAAAAAATGCCCAACTTCTCACAAACAATTATGAAAGATTGTGGAAGGAGATCCAGAGAGATTTAGAGAAATTGAAACATTTGAATCTCTCTCTCTTGGGCAGAGTTGCCCTGATTAAAATGTCAATTCTGCCGAAGCTATTATACCTTTTCCAAAACATACCAATAATTAGGAATGTGAAGAAATTCAATGAATGGAGAAAGGACATTTTGAAATTTGTGTGGAAAGGTAAAAAACCGAGAATAAAATATCAAGTTTTGACAGACAAAAAAGTTAGAGGGGGATTTGGACTCCCCAATTTTAAACTCTATCATGAAGCAAATGCTCTCATTTGGTTAAAGGACTGGATGGCTTTAAAATTCCTTACTTTAGAAGGCCATGACCTCCGGGTAGGCTGGCACGCCTATCTGTGGTATGGAAGAGAACAGAAGGAAAGAAACTTTGGAAATCATTTCATTCGGTCCTCGCTAATTAGAACTTGGGAGAGATATAAAAATTATTTTTACTCCAAAACCCCTCTTTGGATCTCCCCTATGGAAGCTAAACAAAGGAGATTATTGGGCTGGATGACCTGGCCCACATATAAAGAACTTTTAAAAAAGGATTCAACGGCTTTGAAATCTCTTCAAGAAGTTAATCAGAGTTTCCCTAAAATTACTTGGTTACATTATTTGCAAATAAAGGAACAATATACCCAGGATTTAAAACAAGGATTTCAGATTAAAGAAGTATTTTGGGATAAATTTTTAAAGACAGACACGAAATGCATAACCAAATTATATGAAAAATTATTAGAATGGTCAACGGAGACCGAATTAATCAAAGGATGCATGGTTAAATGGGCGGAAAACTTTAAAAGACCTATTGCGATGTGTGACTGGGAAATTATTTGGAAGAAAAAACTAAAATACACCTATGCGATGGATTTAAAGGAAAATTGGCTAAAGATGTTTCATAGGTGGTACATGACTCCAGTAAAATTAAATCGTATGTATAAGAATGTATCAAAAAATTGTTGGAAATGCAACGAACATGAAGGGACCTTTTTTCACCTGTGGTGGAGCTGCAAAGAAACTCAAAAATACTGGAAAATTATACATGAAGAAATGCAAAAAGTACTTAAAAAGAATTTTCCAAGAAAAGCAGAATATTATTTGCTGGGAATTGTAGATGATGAGATCAAATTGGATTCTAATGAGGATATTTTGTTTATATATTTAACAACAGCTGCAAGAATTGTCTTCGCCAAGATGTGGAAACAGAAAGATATTCCAGGAAGACTCCACTGGATAGATAAAATAAATGAAATAAAAGATATGGATATACTGACTTTTCTTTTGAAAAAGAATACAGGCAACGTAATTAAAGAGACGAATTGGTCAACGGTTGAAGAATATATAGAGAAATCTACATAAAGAACACGAGGTTACACGGACGATGTGATGGAGAACCCTTTTCTTTTTTCTGTGTGGGGTTCTCGCTATTTTTGATATATAAGCAAGGACATTGTCTGAGCAGAATCAGAAGGGAGTCCTTTTCTTCCTTTTTTTTAATATATATATTTTATATTTTTCTTTTTTCCTTTTTCTAGGGATATTTTTTGGACTTTTCTTTTCTTTCACACGGGGGGTTGAGTGGGGTATTTTCCTACTTTTCTATCTTCTTATATTATTCCCCCACTTTCGTTGTATTTCATAAAATTCAATAAAAAATTTTTTTAAAAAAAGCACTACCTGAACATCAAGCAAAAAGTGGGTGCTAGAAACAACATCATATGAAAGCTGACTGGCACAACCTGGGGATCACAACCAGAAACAGTGAAGACATCTGCCCTCGCGCTATGCTATTCTGCTGCTGAGTATGCATGCCCAGTGTGGAACACATCTCACCACACTAAAACAGTGGATGTGGCTCTTAATGAGACATGCCGCATTATCACAGGGTGTCTGCGCCCTACACCACTGGAGAACTTACACTGCTTAGCCGGTATTGCACCACCTGACATCCGCCGGGAAGTAGCAGCCAATAGTGAAAGGACCAAGGCAGCGACATCTCCAGCTCATCCCCTGTTTGAGTATCAGCCAGCACGTCAACGACTTAAATCAAGACATAGTTTTCTTAGATCTACAGAGACACTCGTTGGAACATCTCAGCAAGCGAGAGTCCAGAAGTGGCAGGCCCAAACCCAGCACCTCAATCCATGGGTGATACCAGATGAGAGACTCCCCCCTGGGCACACAGAAGACTGGGCGACTTGGTAGGCGCTGAACAGACTGCGCTCTGGCACCACGAGATACAGAGCCAACCTGTGGAAAGACCAGGGTGGGACAAAGGACTTTTGTCTACTGGAGCTAGGTGTGAATGTTTCAACTGACCACCTTGATTATCATTTAATGGCTTGGGAGTGCCTGGGGAATCTTTCTTTGAGAGGTGATTTGATGTGCCTGATTGTTTCCTCTCTGTTGTTTTGCTGTTGTAATTTTTGAGTTTTGTAATACTGGTAGCCAGATTTTGTTCATTTTCATGGTTTCTTCCTTTCTGTTGAAATTGTCCACATGCTTGTGGATTTCATACCTAGCTCCAGCAGACAAAAGTCCTTTGTCCCACCCTGGTCTTTCCACAGATATATAAACTCATTTTCCTAGTTCCAACAGACCTCACTACCTCTGAGGATGCTTGCCATAGATGCAGGCGAAACGTCAGGAGAAAATGCCTCTAGAAGATGGCCATATAGCCCGAAAAACCTACAACAACCCTATAAATAAATACATATTTTACAATTCTGCTCTATATGTTCACTAAGGGCCTACACATCTTAAAGGCACCAGATTCTGGAAGCTGAGCAGAACCAACTTTGATTAGTACTTGGATGAAAGACCACCAAAAAATACCAGGCACTATATTTCAGAGGAAAAGACTGGCAAAACCACATTTGAGGATTGTGAAACTCATGGGCTCCCCGTTAAGTCGACAGGCAACTTGAAGGCAAACACACAGACATGACCAGCTGACAGGGGCGGCTCGTCCATTATGCGAAGTAAGCAGTCGCAGAACACTTTTTTTTGCCAGGGGCGCAGAGGCGCCTCTGTAAATGCCCCTCGACCGCCACTTGAGGAGCGCCCCCTCAGCTCACAACAGCCTAGCAGTCCGGGGGGAGCCTCGGCTTTCTTGCCTCGCTGCCTGGCGATCCTCTTCCCAAAGGGGCCGGGCCCTTGAGCCTCGCCTAGCCCCTCTCGTTCCTGCTCCACCCGGCCACCGGGTGCACAAGCAGAGCCGGCGCTCAATCGTTCTCTGCGTTCGATCCCTTCCCCATGACCGGCTCCCTTTCCCGATCCCCCGGCGCCTCCACCCGCCTCCTCTCCTCTCCCCAATCCGCGGGTGGGCCAAGGGCGGAGCCGCCACGCCTGGCCTGCTTCGGGTCCGGAGGCGTGTCTGAAGACCCCAAAAGTCGCCTCTTCTCCTGACTTTCTCTTCAGCCATTGGGACCAAGAGAGAGAGAGAGAGAGAGAGCCCCTCCGGCTGGAGGTTTCTCCCACCTCCGCTCCCTCCTTTGTTTTTGCGCCTACCTTATCTCCACCTCTCTCTCTCTCTCTCTTGGTCCTATTGGCTGAGGAGAAAGTCAGGAGAAGAGGTGACTTTTGGTGCACACGCCGGGGTCTTCAGGCATGCCTCCGGACCCAAAGTGGGCCAGACAAGGGAGCAAGTGCGGCAAGTGTAGTTACTGGGATGTATAGTTCACCTACAATCAAAGAGCATTCTGAACTCCACCAATGATGGAATTGAACCAAATATGGCACACAGAACTCCCACGACAAACAGAAAATATATATCAATGATTGGTTGGGGGGGGGGCACCAATATACTGTTTGCTTACCGTTGAAAATTACCTAGGGCCGCCTCTGCCAGCTGACAGCAAAAATGGCAATGCCAAAGATCCAGTCCTTTGAGGGTCTTACGTATTACATTCTTTGTGTAAGTTGTTCCAGCGCATAATAAATGGCTTCCAGATGTTCCCAAAAGGACTTTGTTTCATTGGTCCCCTCTCTCCTTGTGGATACATGACGTCCGTTAGGTCTGTTGTCTTTTGTATTCCATTCAATTCATTCTGTTCCATTTTATTCCTCAAATAAAGGAATTCCAACACCTTTTTTTTTGCAGAGGACTCAAGGCAAGGGACAAAACTAGAGGGAATCAATCCCAATAAAGCAACAACAGGGAAACCTGATGCAATGAGAAGGTTAGACACATTGCTCTCTTTGCCTGTCTATTCTGCCTTGGCAAATGGGCTCAAGCCAAAAAGCAACATCAAGGCACTCTAGTTGTGCGTGGAACTGATTTGTTCGGAGGCGAAGTACTAAACTCGGTATGTTCTTTTCTGGTTGGCCTAACCCATCCATGGACTCTGCATCCACAGCTTGGAAATATTCCAAAACATTCCAAAAAGGAAACCTTGAGTTTGCAATTTTATATAAGGGGCACCATTTTGCTACACCCTCTATATAAATAAAAATGTAATGTTCGTTTGCGGTATTCACAGAACTCAAAAACCACTGGGGCAATTGGCACCAAATTTGGACACTATGTCCCTAACAACCCAATGTATGTTCTCCACTTCAAAAAAAAACCCACGAAAACAAAAAGCAGAAAACACTTCTGAACTGCATGTCCACAAAGGAAAACTGCATGTCTACAACGAGACCCCTGGCCACGCCCCCTCCTCCTCTTCGCGGGGAAACCGCCGGCCGTTAAAGCATGAAGAGCCAGGCATGCTTGCATGGTCACACATACACACACAAGCGAGAGTGGGCACCATGGGAGTGAGGAAGAAGAGGAGGAGGACGGTGGATGGGCTCCTCAAGTCCCTCTTTCGCCGGCAGAAGCAGCAGCCTTTTTCCTCTTTGCTGTCCCCCGCTCACTTTCATCGCCTCCTCTTCTTCCAAGATGCCCCGGTAGAAGCAGCAGGCAGGAGGGAGGGACGGAGGAGAGGGGAGAGACTGTTCCCTTCTTCGCCAACTCTTTCTTGCCTCCCTCTGTAATCTGCTTGGCTGTCTCCGGCAACACGAGCACACATTTAACTCTCTCTCTCTCTCTCTCCCCCCCCCCCCCAATTAACATCCAGACTAGGCTTGGGTAACCACGGAAAAATTTGGTTCTAAACTCGTTTCGTTTTTAGGGGGGCCCTTGTGTTTCGTTTTTTTTAAAGAATTCCGAAATTTTCCTTTAAAAAAGTTCGAAATATACGAAATTTCGGAAAATTACGAATTGATTTGTTAATGGCGGACACGATTGCGCAATATGCTAAAAAACCCTCCAAATGGGACAGGGGGGACTTCTGAAGCTTCCCTCTCCCTCTGTTGTTGACTGTTGGTGTGATGAAACACACAACAACTATAAAACTTGCACCAGA